CTTAAGTGGGCCCTGAGTTGAAAAAGGTTGGGAACCGCTGCTCTACAGAATTATACAATCCTTGTATGTTTGAAATCATTAGAAATTGGAGTTTCTTTGCTTTGATTTTGACACAGAGCATGCAGCACTATATTTATTTTACTGAAACAAGCTGCCAACACATTTTGGTTCACAGTTGTCCTGTCCAATACCATATAAGTATTAATGTGTCCCTAAAAGAAAGTTCCAGGTTAGTAAGAAATTGTCAAAGCCAGACATTTATTTGAAAAGCAAAATACCAGCATTTAAACGTGATTAATTTTTGCCAACACAAGCACATTATTATGTGTCTATGCTGGTTTTCCTAAATGTATTTAGTACCTATTCATTTTCATATGCCTTGGTAGGCTTGAAGACATTGGACCCTGTATGTGTAAGTGATCTTTCATCTGAACCTGGTGTGTCTCTCGTGGTGGACTGATTTCATAGAAGAGTCTCTTTTAACTTGAGGAGGAGTCTTTCACATAATAACTTTTTGAGCCAAAGTTTGTTTCTTGATTGCTTAAGTTGGAATGGTATGGAAGTTGAGTCTTATTTGTTTTTACCAGGCGTTGTCATAAAATGTTTTTGTACTAGCACTTCAATCTTAGTCGAACTTGCTGTAAATATAAATTGACACAGTTCCCAATGTTTCCCAGCTGGTTCGATGTGTTTCCTTGATGGCGTATAGCTCTTGCCTCCCAGTGCGGAGGACCAGGGTTTCAATCTGGGTCTGGGACCATTTGAGTGTCATCTCCTCTATCCTCCCCTTTCAACTCTGTCCCTTCAATAAAGGCACTGGTTGCCCGAAAAAATCTTTAAGAAAAAGAAAATCTATTTACAGGCTGTTCATACACATACTACTTAATTGTGTTGTTTCTGTACAATCACAGTTCATGTAAAAGCAATGTTTAAATCTGTTATTTTACAACATTTATCTTATACCGTTTCTTGTATTATGGTATGAAGTCATTTAGTTTTTTTCTGTATACTTTTTCTGACATCCTTCCTTTTAAATGTTATCATTTTTCCCAAGTAAGTAAAACATTGCGTCCCTCTATGACTGGTGCAATATCTTCCTCAAAGGCCCTTTAGGTCAAAGCAGTTCACATCTGACGTCCTGTTAGCTAACACATTGTACATACATGTGAACTAGTAGTTCAATGTATACATATGTATCCTTGTTCGCTCTAGTACTACAGTACATGTGTATTTGTGTGTAAGTGAGTTGGTCTTTTCTTGTAGAGAACCCAGTGGTCGGAGCAAGGCTGAGATTACCCATCTTGGATAAGAACTATGAACTTGTCCTTGATTTGCAGCAATCAGTAATGAACATGAACCCTGATGCATGTTCAGCATGGAAGATAAACGACAAAAAGTTGTGTTAGTCTGAGCAATAATTATTTGGGATATTGAGTGTTTCAAAATAACGAGTACATTGTTCTTCCAAGATTCAATTGGTGAAGGTGAGACTTTGTTGAGGATTAAAGGAAAGTTCTATTGTAAATTCACCACACATGTGAAAAGCGTAGAAGGAATATGTCTCTGGCATTTCTCCATCCGTAACTTCCAATAAATCATCAGTGTCTGAGATCAGTCCAAAGCTCTCCTGTGTGTTTCTTTTGCTGCAAGAATTTCATCAAATGGTAAGAGGCAGTCTTTATCAAAGCCTGGAGGGTGCACTATTTTGAGGCCGTTGGAGAGAAGCTGTATGGAAGAATATGCAAGGAGGGTTGTGATGACATACCATTTAGAACTTAATCCATGTTCCAAACCTGGATTGCAGGATTAGAATGAAAATGCAATAAATGCACAAAAAGAGATCGAGGAAAGGAGTTGGTACAAAAATAAATCAACAAATATATTAAAGAAAATACCTTGCTGAATGTATTGTAGCAACCCTTTAGAACAGGGATGGGCCAATGGCGGCCCCCACCTCCTCTTTTTGCGGCCCTCAGATTAATTTATAAACAACGTAATTAATTTTAAAAAAATACAATTTTTTTTTTTTACTTGTAGTAATGATACCGTCCACTAGTTACGTCGCGACATGATTTCGTTCGGCAGCCAAATATCGCAAAATAATCTGTGACGCGTTTTTGTGCAGGGCTGTGGGAAATAGGGGTGCTGAGGGTGCTGCAGCACCCCCTGGTGGAGGACAGGGGATCTGCACTTCCACAAGATTAAATACAAATATAATACAAAAAAAATAATGAATTTTCAGCCTTGATGTAACAACATTCATAATTAAGTAAAGATAACACCCTTTTCACCACGGTTACATTTCCCATTTGCCCCGTACGATGGGCGCTGTAAGTGATGAAAGTGGGGGATGTTGGCTTATCAGGCGCCCGCAGCTCACAGCCAGCGTGAGAGAGAAAGAGAGAGAGAGAGAGAGAGATAGATAGAGAGAGAGGGAGTGCACCGGTACCGGCGGGGAATGTTGTTAGCTTCTGCTGCGCTAATGGATATAAGAAGCTGTTTCTACAATAATGTGGAGGGAGAGCTCTCCTGTCAGACTGAGAGGCACAGTGAAGTAAAGGACTCTGAGTGTTTAGATAGTTCACTTTAGTCTAAGTCAGTGGTCACCAACCTTTTTAAGCCCAAGATCACCGACCTCGGCCTAGGTGAAAGGCGAGATCTACCTATTGCAGAATTGAGTGAAAAAGACGGCCAAGGCAATGCTTCCAATTTGAGGCCTTTTATATAGGCTAATTGCATTTGAATTACTGTTGCAATGAAGGCTCCATAATCAGCTCACGGCATATAAGCAGGGGTAAAGTGCTATCACGGGGTCCTCACCTCCTCTAGGGGGGTCCGGGGTGATGCTCCCCTGGGAAGATTTTTTTTTAAATATTGAAGTTGAAAGCATCAATCTGGTGCACTTTGAGAGCAACATGAAGAGATCTATGGATTCATCTCTCAGCACCCATATGAAACAGAACTGTAAACAGATTTTCTTTTTCTTTATGGATATTTTACAAATCACTCCCCTTTTAAACTGTATTCTTGTTTTACTGCCATATAGTTTATTCTCTTATTGTTTGTATAACTATAATGATCATATGAAGGTGTGCCGCGGAAATAATCTTTTGAATAATTTGTGACAAAACCGTTCTAAACACTCACCTGAGCCCCTCAGTCTGACAGGAGAGGACTCTCCTGCAGCTTGTTCTGGAAACAGCTCCTTATGTCCGTTAGTGCAGCTAGCTAACCAGATGCTAACATCACGGTCCCCGCTAGCACCGGTCCCTCTCTCTCCCTCTCTCCCTCTCTCTCTCCCTCTCTCCCTCTCTCTATCACACTAAATACGCTATTGCCACACACACACAGAGCCGAGCTTGAATGACACAAGCACACGTGTATTTCCATGCAACTCTCTGATTGGTCTGGTGTCTTGCCTCTGTTGCGTTCACTGAACACGGGAAATTACAGTCCTGCCGTTGTCTCTTGTGTCATGATGAGGTTCACGTAAAGCACGGTAAATGTATTATATTATTGAGGTTTCTCAAATATACGTCAATCAAGTGGCACCTGCTAACGGGGTGGTGGATGATAGGTTTATATCTAAAAACGTATTTTTCAAACATTATTATTTTAATTTTATTTTTCTTTCTTTTGTTACTTTTTTTTTAACGGTCAGCGATCTACCCGCACCACACCACTGATCTAAAGGCTTTGAGGATGAAAAGTTCTCAAAATCTTGAGTTTTCGTGAAGTGACCTTGCTTTGGCGTGGTTGTTATTTTACGCAATTTTGCCAGGAAACAGGAACTTGGTGTAACTCCATTTTACAACATCTAAGCTGCTCTAAATTTGAAGAAAATGGAAAGCGTTCGGTCCTGACGCNTTGTGAGTGCGGACCATAGACTGTATATATAAATGGACGTAGTGTCCGTGACGTCACCCATAGGATTCTGCAGAGTTGCCGAGAAGCCCTTAGTAGGCGGAGTCCCGCCTACTAAGGGCTTCTCGGCAACTCTGCAGAATCCTATGGGTGACGTCACGGACACTACGTCCATTTATATATACAGTCTATGGTCCGCACTCACAACAACGGCCTACAGACATAAATAAACCAGTGACTGTATTCGCCATGACACAGACAGTCTGTGGTTTGTACTTGTTTAACTTTTGTCGAGTTTCTGAACAGATATGAGGAGCTGTGAGCTCTGAGTACTAACAGCTAACGGCTGATGTTTTGTGGTTCGAATTGAAGATGACGTTATGGCAGTTTTACGAGGCGTCGCTCCGCCCGCCGAACAGCCGATCGCCCAGCCTACACTGCGTTACTATAGTTACTACCCCAGTACTAAACTGTAATGGAAACGCAGCATAAAGTGAGCCTGGCCTACCAAGGCCTAACCATACCGTACTAAGCCGTGCTAGGTCCTGCAGTGGAAAAGCGCCATAAGTAAACCTAACACCCAAAAAATGGGACAAACACTGACAACAGTATTTTTTGAAGGTTTAAATCGCTGGTTTTGTAGAGGAGAAGAGACCCCTGTGGATAACTAGCTCCTGATACAAACATCCTGAACAGTTTAATGTTACATTTTTATACGTAACATTTAACTATTAATGTCTAAATATGTCTGGCATCAAAAGGTAAATATCTGTTCATATAAATCTTCAGGAAAATCTTTAACAGTGTTTTCAAATGTTTTTCAACCATTGGAAAACATCCTCACGTGGATTCCTTTAATCATCTGGTTGTCTTACAAAAGCTTGTATAATTCATCCAGTTTTAAGCCCCATTTTTTGTATACACTTTTCTTTTTAACTACATTTTAATCAGAGTTTTAGTTAGCAAGCTTAGCCTACAGTCCATAGACCCTCTGTTCTGTGTCCTAACAGGGAAAGACTGATATTTAACATTGCTTGATTCAGGGGTACTACAGGGTTTACTCATTGGGTCCATTTGTTTTTGAGTGCTTTAGACCTTTGCCTGACTCCTCCAAGTTATTGCGGTGTGATCAGAGCCTAAAACATCTCCCAGATTATACAGACATGTCTGACAAACAGTTTGAGCTGACCTGCCAGGCGGTCGGGGATGTAGACTGGGCTTGGGCTGGACAGACGAGCAGGCAGAGTCATGCTCTGCGCGGCGGGCGTGCTGGGTTTGCTATTGTCCTGACTTTGTCCTTTGTCTGTCTGTGTGCAGCTGTCCCTGCTGCCTGTCTTCGAATGGCCTGCATTCATTGGGGTGGAAGGAAGCACTGGTGAAGGGGATGAAGAGATTGACTCAGTCCTGATGGACTCTGTCCGAAACTCAGAACCAAGCAAAACCCCTGCAGGAACATGAGCAGAGATCAGTTGTTAAAAGTGAAATCCATCAGCTGTTCTCAAAAAAAGGCTCACACATGGTAATAAATATTGGTTATTACCTAGGCTGCCCTTCCAGCTGGTGTCCTTGCGTTCTTCAGTGATCGGCGAGCTACTGAGGCCGAGGCTTTGAGAGAGCAGTCCTGAACCACCGGAGTTCGAAATGGACATCAGGGACTTGGAGGGCCTCATAGCAGATTGCGCACCTGACTTGATGGGCTCCTTCTTGGAGCGCTGGTGAAGCACCTTGATCATAGCATCTTTCTCTATAATCTGGGCATGAAGATTCTTTATCCTGTATTAGGCAGAACAAGAGCATGGACCTGAATGGAGCCATAGTTCCAGGACAACAAAACCTACAGATATATGTGAGCGCAAGTACATCACAAGTTAAATTATTTGGAATAATGACTAAAAGTACACATTGTAACCTTTAAGTTCTGATCTCCTTTGTGTTTACGCTGGCTTTTTACAAACACACCAAAAAGACTAAACATCAAGTCATATAGACTGCATCCAGTGGCAACATTGGCTGGAAAATGAAGCAAACATGGAAGAGCCATCAACTGCATGCCAGCCAAGCTCCTTGAATGGCTGCTTGAGGCTGGCTCCAGAAGGGCTTTAAAAAGGCTCTACTTTATAGAGGAAATGGACATGTTTACAGCCTGGTACAAAAAACAGGTTTGGGCTCATAGATAACTACTCCGTTATGAAAACTGTATGGGGGTGAATTTTTATATAACTGGAAGATTTAAATCCATCCCAGGTGCCTCATTTATAAAACTTTGCGTAGGATTGATGTGAAAAGATGGCGTACACAGGAACAAAGGAAGTGCATAAGCACAAAAATATTCTGTAATGCGGCGCAACTTTTGCGGGCTTCACTTAACACCCATATGTACCTATAAATAGTCAAAGAAACGCCCCGTATTAATATTCATTTAAACTGACTGCATGAAGAAGATCGCAGGAAATGACGACAGAACAGCTAAAAAGGACATTTCACACCGTGTCAGAAGTGTTGGTTCTTTTGGAGAGGTGGAGACAAATCATATTGTTTGGTGGATGCAGTTTGAACCAGAGTAGCAGCATGAAGGTCGGATCGTCACCAAAATAAATAAACAAGTGGTCCGAAAAAGTACACATAACCTTCCTCAGGCAGTGTGTCAGTGTGTTTATACCCGGGACAGGAGACCCCCCCTCATGGGCGCGGGAAGGGGGGTACTGAGGGCGCTGTAGCACCCCCTAGCGGCAGGCAGGCGGTGCAGAGCGCCCCTTTCTGAATTATTATTTGACGGTTATTGCTTCTCCCGCTGTGCATAATCTGTGTAATATGTAGCCAACAAATTCCACATTGTCGGTAAAATAATATTTTGGCCTGCCCCGAATATTTTTTCTGTAGCCCCGGACAATTCTACCTCAATAATATACGTAATACATTAACCGTGCTTTACGTGAACCCCATCATGACACTAGAGAGGACGGCAGGACTGTAATTTCCCGTGTTCAGTGAATGCAACAGAGGCAAGACACCAGACCAATCAGAGAGGTGCATGGAAATAAAAGTGTGCTTGTGTCATTCAAGCTCGGCTCTGTGTATGTGGAAATAGCACATTTAGTGTGTGTGTGAGAGAGAGAGAGAGAGAGAGAGAGAGAGAGAGAGAGAGAGAGAGAGAGAGAGAGAGAGAGAGAGGAAGAGAGAGAGAGAGAGAGGGGGAGAGAGAGACCGGTGCCAGCAGGGGCCGTGTTGTTAGCATCTGGTTAGCTAGCTGCACTAACGGACATAAGGAGCTGTTTGTTCCACAACAATCTGGAGGAGAGTCCTCTCAGACTGAGA